AACACAAGCAGGGGGAGTGGGAGAGGGAGAAGCAGGCTTCCCGCTGAGCAGGGAGCCCGATGTGGGGCTCAATCCCAGGACCCTGGGACCATGACTTGAGCCGAAGGCAGACGCTCAACGACTGAGCCACCCAGGCGCCCGATGTCTCTTAAGTTCTTATTCAAAAATTTTTCATTACACCTCTTCATGGTTGATTTTAATGAATATTCCTTACAATTTTACTGTCAATGAACATATGCCAAAATGGAAAATGCCTGGTTTTCATGGATACACAGAGCTTACAATTATAGTTCAATAGAAGGTTTCCTTTTATTTTTTTAATTTTCTTTTTCTTTTTTTTTAAGATTTTATTTATTTATTCATGAGAGACAGAGAGAGAGAGAGGGGCAGAGGGAGAAGCAGGCTCCCAAGGAGCAAGGAGCCCCATGAGGGACTCGACCCCAGGACCCCGAGATCATGACCTGAGCCGAAGGCAGACGCTTAACCATCTGAGCCACCCAGGCACCCTAGAAGGTGTCCTTCTAAATAATTCATATATTTTACCATGAGGAATTGTTTCAGTTAAATTTTGGCTTATTCTGATTTTGCAATTCCATAATAATGTGCTTCCTTTTGTATGGGACTTTCCACAACATTAGTTAGTTGTGGTTTTGTTTTTACCTATGTATTTTGTTATAGGATGACAATTTTCAACACAGTACACTTTTGAACAATGTGTGACTCAAATATGAATCAGATTTATGCCCTTTGCCAATAACATTATGTGTCTATATAAATATTACCCATACACGGTTTGTAACTCATTTTGTGTATTTCTTTCCTTAGTGGTTGTGAATGTTCTATCATGCCTCGGTGAGTTGCTAGCATTAATTTCAACATCTATTTATTGTTGAATTTATATTCTTTTGCATGAGAAGCACTTTTGGTGAATCGAAAGTAATTTTTAAATTTTTTATGCCTCTGTATCTTGTATAGGTATTATATTTTATCTTAATTGTGGTGTTATACCCATGATACGCTTTGACACCATTCTCATTAACTTTTCTGTCTTCTGTATGTATTTTCATTCTGGTTACCTTAGAGATTCCTTAAAACA